GGCAATAGATAAAGATAATAATATATTATATTTAGGATAAAAATGTTTCTTACTTTACTTTTATAAAATTGTATGATATTGTATTTTTCAAATTGTACTTTAATGTAGAATATCAGATTTACTATCGCAATTGTATCGTGAAAATCATTAAGTTGCACTGTGACAAATCGATTGAGATCACGCACCGTCAGACTTCCTAAGCGTACCTATACACGTCATAACGTCGACCGCGAAGGCCACAGTGTGGTTTATCGGAGTCACGTACTAGTATTCCGATTACCGCAGACACTTAGGCCACGGCTAAAGGCAATGAGATAGCTTATCGTTCAAATGTCTCCGACCCCACTATTTCGGTAACAAATAAAAACAAAAATCGGCAACAAATCCACTGCGACATTACTCACAGTCACACCTAAAACGTCTTTTATCCAAAATACATAATACATGTATCGTGATAGCGATTTTCATATACATATACTTATATACTTAGTATATATATATACCAATATATACACTACACGTCTACACATATACGAGTAATAGCGCAACCACCCCAAATGACATATTGTCAAGGACCACTGGACGATTTACGGGCTAAATGTATATACTGTTCGACACAGCCAAGTCCGACGAATTATTATTATCGTACCATGTGGCATGTACAGTACATACTATGAGACGATTTTATGTGCGATTAAGGGTGTGAATACCATTTGACCATAAACAACTGTCATTCAAAGTTCACCAAGGCTGTCGATAAGGAGACGTCGTGAAAAACATCACACGCGTTGACAGCAGAGCTTAATATCGTCTCTCGTATATACTATCCATGAATCCTACACATTTTCGATGATTTTCGGAGTATTTAATGTCGATTATAAAAGGTTCAAACACATCATTTAAACAAGAAAAAAAATGTTAGTTTTAACCGTATCTACTAGTAACGTAGATAACGTGGTTACTAGATAGGATGAGATAGTTTTTAAAATGCTCCGCGTTTATGTAACTATATTTTAAAGGGGGAGGAGCGTATTGCGACCTTTCAAAATGGGATTTACCATTCACGTAACTGTCGATCTAGACAGAATTAGAAAAAATTAGAAAATGTTAATTTATTTTTGATCTTAGCACCTAAGATAATTTAGAACGGCCGATACCATTTGCCTCGGAAATTTTTAATTATTAAAAACAAATAAAAATTTTATAAATAAGATATAATAATACATATTTACTGAAGTATCTATAATTTTTTTAGCCAGCACCTTAAACAATTATGTGATATATAGCTTCGAGGATACACAACTTTTAGAAATTATCATATCATGACTAAATAGCAAAATATTTAAATGTCCAGACTTTGTAGGTTTACAATGTACCTATTGCTCAAGATTATATTTTTCACACAGAACCATGCTTATTGTTTCTTAGTATAATATGTTTTATATAAACAATATCATTACGGTATAATGTACCATTTTGTTATTAATATTCATGTTGTATAGTATCAGAATACTACATAATAAAATAAAAAAAGTTTTAAGTGGATGTCGCTCTGCTGTACTGTATGTTACAAGTAGCTCACTGTTATGTATGCATGGTATTCAATTTGAAATCAATGATTAAGGTAATATCATTGCATACGAAAAACGATTCTGAGCGGAGACGGTTTGTTAAGGATATTTTGTATTAATATTATTAACAATACGGAAACCAGTAAATTGAATTATTATTATTTACAGAATAACCCATTTAAGTGTAACCTTGTTTTAAATTTTCAAATCTTATAGCTATAAAAATTGGATATTTTATACATTTTTAAATTTTAACCTCCCCAATGCAACAAGTTTATTCACTTTCTCATCAAACAAGGTACTGAAGTTGAAAACCGGAGCATTATTTCGATTAATTATCGGGTAGACGGACACAAAAAAAAAAAACACAAACCGTTATTAAATCTAAAATGAATTGTATTTGTTTTTTGTCTCTATAAATTTATTATACACATCATTATAGGTTTTGTTTTTAAATTCAATTTAGATAGTAATATATTATATTTATCAAAACAAAATCTGTGTAAAACACATAATATCATTAAAATTAAAGTCGGATTTTTTAACAACAATAAAGATAGGTAATTAGTTAAGTACTTGAGTGTGCCCGCAGTGTGGGATGCTACAACTGCCCTTAAATATAATGCCATTAGAATTTCCCTTGCACATAGAATACGAGTGTATTGGTGGAATTCCATTTATTTGTATTTATTTTATTTCTTGTAGGTAGGTAATAAACAAAAAAATAATATACTTAAATCGATTACTAAAAATATAAAACTACAAACTACAATGCAGTTTTTAGTAAAGTACTATAATATTATAAATTATTATTTTTTTTTTTAACTTAACTTACAGTTCACCGATTTAAAGGTATTTACTCGTATATTACAATAATACAATATTATGCCATGTTAGTTACTATAAACCGACAGTGAAGAAAACTCCTGTAGGTAGAGATTATTATTGATATTATAATATGTTCTGTAGATATTGGAAATTAAACCGAAGTGGTTATTATTGAAATTTCTCATTTGCTATAACTTGAAGTACCTAAAAGCTAAGTGTATTGAGCCACTGACTTTTGTAAAATCAATTGATGACTGATGTTTTTGTAGCACATTGTTTTAAACTTTATAAAACTATTATAATATATTTAAATAAACCATTTCCCGTTAATATTAATGGCAGTCAATTTATTCCATCTTAAATACCCCTTAAAATAAAGCCAAATAATATGTTACTTTTACAGTATTTAGCTTTCTATAGGCGAACGAATTTTTCAAATCTGTTAGTAATTTTTTAGTTTATCCATAACAAACAAACAATTTTACCCATTTACAATATTTTAGTTTACAATTATAGGTTATCGTTGTGAACTGATTATAAATATCACATGCACACGAGTTAGAGCATCACGTGTGACGTGTAGGTATAATAAAGGTTGTATAACAGGTAGTGTCGGAAGAGTATTGTTTTACAATTTCGAGTCGAGTCCAGTAGAGTTCAAAATACGAGTACTTGAAAAATTCCAAGTATTCGAAAAAATGTGCCGAGTACTGGCATTGCTTGAGTATTTTAAATTGCACTAGAAATAGATTTTCCAAAAATGTTAAATTTTCATTCATACAAACCTTGTCTTGACAATATTTAAACTATCAAGTACCATCTTCCTGGTATTCTTATCGGAAATATTTGTGTTCTTTCAGTTGTTTATAGTTTTAACATTTATTTTTCAATAAAATACTATAAATAGTCTTGAATCGAGTAGATAATTGTAATATTACAATAATAAACAATTTTTTATGCAAAGTCTGAAGTCAAATAGTCGACCAACACTAATAATAGGTAAACCGATCTATCTATAAAGAATCATCTTTACAAAACACTGTAAGACTAGTACTCTGTACTTTCATGGATCTCTGCAAATACAACCACGTCATGGAGCAGTGTCCCACACAAGTAAGCAATTCCACTATCATTACGTCTGACGGGATGTCATGATATTATTATATTATTATAATAATAAATCAATATTACTACCAATTTGAAAACATGTTTAAAATAGTATTTAATTATACGTTGCTGTGGACGTTTCTATGACAGCAATACACTCGTGGGTTAAGGGTTATTATTAGTGTTAAATATATGGCGTTAATGTCTCGGGGGCAGTCTCCAAAGTTTTGTCAGTAAACTATGATCTATTAAAACTGCGAGAGATCCTTGCCACCGGGCTTTTGTGGTATCACGGATTCTACGCTGAACGAATGTGGAAAGTATTTGGAGACAGTTATTATTGTTAGACAATCGTCAATTGTATACATACAGGACTTTATAACGCTGCGAACGACGAGCGTAAGTAGGTAGTTATATTTCGAACTTAGCGCAGCGTTGTTTTCCAGACTTTTCACATAAATACGCGTGCCAAAGTCATTAATTAAAACTTTTGGCCATTCCTAACGCATGTGTTGAATACGCAGTCGGGATATAATACTCTTAGATTTAAATATAAATATACAAGTTTGTATACATATAGGATTATTGCCCCGTGACGTTATTAGGTAGCTGACTGCCTAAATAAAATATGTTATTATAATACGTTGTGAACGTTATGCATATCACACGACACGTACACGATAATAATAATATAATAACGCATAATAGATACGCGTGTCGGGTGGGCAAGCTTGTGAGAATGCATTTGTCTGGCACAGCAGGCGATAATAAAATATCAATGGGACGTGATCTGTTGTTTCGTGACGACGTATAGCGAATAATATTCTCAACCAAAATCGAAACGATAAGGTGAGGATGTGTTTCGTCGCACCACGTTATGACGTTACAATATGCACATCTATATATAAAGGCTACTGTACTGTTATTATTATTATTATTATTATTGTCTCGTTGTCGTTTTATATGTACCACGGGTTTACCGGTCCCCAATATCGGGCAGGTGTCCGTGATCGGAATATCGTTGGAAATCATCATACTGTTCTTCACTCTCCTCGGGGTCCGGCAAAAGTTTCAAGTCCATGCCCATACGATACCGGAAACCGATTTACATATACCTAGTAAGTATAATTGCGTACCTTAGGCCAGGACTATGGTTATATCGTGTGGCGGACGTGTGGTAGGCACGGAAAACAGCTAGGGCGGTCGCTATCGGTTGACTCCTTGCCCGATAAACGTCGGTGGCATATTTTGCCGGTGGGCTTTCAGAGGGAATATTATAATAATATCCTCTGCACGATCGCTCGCCCCGCAGGACGGTCTCTTGCAATCGACCCTCGTCGTCGACCACAACGGAATGTTCTGCTATTCTCCCATCCCCCCACCCCCCCGCGACAGACAACCGCCACCTGCAACTCACGTTTTCGTGGTATATATTATTATACAATGTATCTTTATTGTAGTGTATAGTAATTTCATTAATATGCATCCAGTAGACTACGTGGGTTGCTTACTATTGGCGTATTCTTTTTTCTCGCTATCGCCCTCTCCGCCGTCTGCACCTTCCGACCAAGGGTCCGATAGGTCCACTCCCAGTTTTCCATTTTCCGGCCTTCCTGGATCAGGGTTTTTTTTGTATGTATAGGTACAGCCGGGTGTTACTTCACAGAAATGCTCATCAATCTCACTATTTGCGTGCACAGGAAAAGAACTGTCACTGCTGCACGGTGTCCTGCTGTTGCGACACCAGAAAAAGGATAGAATATTTTCTTCGTACAAATGAGGGAATGCCTTGGAATAAATATTATCATCCATTCGTTTTCATATCTTTTGTACTTAAATTTTTCTATTTCTGACGGTAAAGGATTTTATCATACCGAATCTCTTATAGCCCCCTCAGTGCATCCAGCTAACAGAAACCGCGGTACACACCCAAAATGAAATAAACGATTTCCGTACATTTGTCATATTTTATAATATTATATTATGTATATTGTATTTTTGCTTTGTATCGAATTCCAAACGTCTGTATAGTGTACATAAAAATATTCTAAAAAGCAATGTGAACGTGAGCCACGACGTTAGGACTTTACCTAAACTTTTTGCTGGTCCACCCGATTTCACTCAATTTTCATGCATTGATAGTTTCCACAGAATAATCCCATTTTTCGTACACTTTTGATGAGGGTTGTCGTCGTTGTGGTGTACATGCAGACAACAATCATTTTTTATTTTAAACAAAAATTACGACCAATGACCATTTAAATACATTTCTAGGGAAAAAATATATTCTTGAGAATAATGTTGGCATTCAATAAAAACTGAATGTTAAATTTAATATCTTATAAGTAGCTGGTATACATGGTGTCATAGTATTAAAAAAAAAAAAATTTTCCAAAAGTTACAGAGATACATTTTTTATTGATTTATTAGAAAAAATATTAGAAAATAAGTATGTTGGTACGTTGTCTTAGATCGAATGTTATTGTCATAAGCCAACAATTAAATGTATTAATTCGAAAATATTATGTTGTTATATTTCACAAAAATCGTCCAAATATTTCTAGAAAATATTAATACAAATATTTTATGAAAATGTCAAGCCATTATGGATTAAAATAATAATTGCATTATGACAACATTAAAAAAAAAACAGATTTTATCAAAAACTAGTGTGGCGTAAACATTTCATTTTTCCGCCGTTTCTTATTTTTTCACTCTGAATCTACGATTTAAACGTAAAGTATTTTGTTATTAATTCATCTTCTTTAATCTTTGAATATTTAAATATTATCAGATATATTTTTTAATTTTATATTTTAATAAATATACGTCATTATGATTTTTATAGACATAAATATCCTTGGTTAATCACTGATGGTAATAATAAAAAAAAATAATAATAATAATAATATATTGATACCTACTCTATGTCCGGGTACAAAAATAAACATCAATCATAATTAGTATCATCCTTATTAATTGTGTTTTAGAAAAGTTAGGGAAGACACTACCTACGCAGTAAGAAAAAAGTATTCCAAACACCTTGCGGTGGTTCTGCTGAGAACACGGTTGGTTAACCATTCTAATAGCCACTTGGGCATAAAATCGACCCTCGATAAAACTGGTTATTATTTTCTTTATACTAATATTCAAATGTTTTTATGATAATAATTATAAAAGTGTGCACTATATATTAGAGTAAGTATACTAGTACCTTACACCAGTTTTTATTCAATCTGTAATTAAAAATTATAAAAAAAAATACTCAGCCGTAAGCTACATAATTTTTTAGCTTGTCTACAAAATGTTAAAGCAAAGTTATTATCTATATTCTATATATTATATTGATTTACAAATATTTTTTTCTTGCTATAAGTTTGTTGTATAGTTGTCAACGACAATAAACTTTCAAGCATTTCACATGAAAATGGTGAGTTTATATTTGTACAATAATTCATACTTATAAGAAATAAATCAAAACATCAACAGCCACAACAATGACTGTGTAAGAACTATATAAACAACAACATTTTATATTCAACGGAATACTAAAAGTTTAGAAACAAAAAACTCATATTTAAGTTTAACAATAAAACAAACAAAAAAAAGGTGGGCAAGTGGGTGTCGCTCTGCTGTACAGTAGGTTACAAGTGGGTCACTGTATAATGGATGATATTAAATTTGAATTCAACGATATAATATCATTGTATAAGAAAAACGATTCTGAGCGCAGACGGTATGTCAGTCTATGTATAAGACATATTATATACATATCTATGGTATTAAACAAAAAATTGACCTATAATGGGTACCTATAATAAATTCCAAATTAATCATATCAAAATATCCATTAGGTACTTATAACGCGTTATACATCAACAAAAACCGTGATACTATCATAGATATATAATAGTACACTTTAGAAGTTTCAAGTATCCACGAATAATATTATTCAATCACAACAAAATAACTAAAATAGTTATTCTAGGTTTTTTAATATGTAATTTCGTCCAAATTTGAATTTAAAATGTCTGTAAAAAATAACTGTGTTCATATATTTTTTAGATTTTTTGGTTACAGTATGAACTATTTACGAGAACCTTTGTGTTGAATTTGCAATCCTTAGCTATAACTCCTTACCTCTACTAAAATCGTAATTCTTGGTTTAAATATGAAATTTTGTCTAAATTTGAAATTAAAATGTCTGTAAAAAATAAGTGTGTTTATATATTTTTTAGATTTTTTGGTTACAGTATGAATTATTTAAGAGAATCTTTGTTTTAAATTTTCAACTCTTAGTTATAAAAACTGAACATTTTATAATTTATTAATTACAATGATTGATAATTTTCGAGATTTTGATAAATTTTGTCAAAATTTGATCTTTAAATGCTTATAAAAAAAAACTGTGCCTATGTATTTTTAATATTTTTCAACTGATATTATAACAATATATCAGGAGCCTTGTATTAAATTTTTACACTTTTTGGCCCAACAGATAAAACTTTATTGATATTTATAGAAAAAAAAACTAAAAAAAATTGAAAGCTGTAAATGTCCATAAACAGCTCAAAAAGAGTCAAAATATTTTCAAAATTGTATGGTGTATAGAAAATGCTAATTTAAACATTCAGTGAAATTTTCATGTATCTACAGTTATTTGTTTTTGAATTACAACAAAATAAGGAAATCGCTACATGGGAAATCGAGTGAATATTCAATGTTGTAAAAATTTGAATTTCAAACGCTCATAAAAATTTAATTTGACTTTCTTATAAACATTTTTCTTTTGATAAAGGTAGACAAACTTATAAGGAATCTTGTGTTTAATTTTCAAATCTTAGATTTAAAAAGAAAAATTTTTACGAATTCTTAACTCAAAATAATTTGCTAATTTTCGTGATTTTCCCATATTTTGTCAATTTTTGAACTTTAAATGCTTATAAAAAAAAATTGTGACTAAGGATTTTTAATATTTTTCATCTGCCTTTGAAGCAATATATTAGGAGCCTTCTATTAAATTTTCAAGCTTTCGCAACCAACAAATAAAATTTTATTGATATTTTTAGAAAAAAAACTAAAAAAAAATGGAAAATGAAAATGTCCATAAACAGTTCAAAATAAATCAAAATATTTTGAAAATGTTATCGTGTATAGAAAATGCAAATATAAACAACCAGTGAAAATTTCATGTATATACGTTCATTTGTTTCAGAGTTACACCAAAAACCAAAATCGATTTTTTGGAAAACCAATTTTGCGTAAAAATTCCCGTTTTTCCTTAATTTTTATGTTGTTTTTCCCGGCGCTTGTGAAAACTACTGGGAAATTTATACTTTTGACCCCCCAAAGTACCAACTAGATTCACTTTCCTATCAGAAAAGCTACTGATGAAGAAAATCCAAGCACTTTTACTGTCCTAAAACGTGATGACAGACACAAAAAAAAATAAAAAAATAAAAAAAAAAATAAAAAAAAAATAAAAAAAAAAATAAAAAAAAAAATAAAAAAACACACATCATTGTAAAATCAATACATTCATCGTTTCACTCAGAATCTAAAAAATAATAAAAATTATCAGAACAATAAGTAATCACACGTTAGAATACTTTTAGGGATCATATATAATACTATAGAATCTATCTAATTTTTACTGTGTCGGCAGATGTCTATGTTATAATAAATTCTGTTTAACTCGACTTATAAGTTATACGTAAAGATAGTTATCAAGTTATACTTCATCAAATCTGGATTTAACATTATCAAAAACATTATGATAACATTTTAAAAATAGCTACGTTAAAAAAAAGAAAATTAAAATTAAAAACAAATAAATATTATTATTTATTATTTTTTAATTAAATACACTAGATATTATTATATATAATTTTAATAAAATTGATGACATTAGTATGAACAAGTCGATAAAACACACTTATAACAATTTATTTGCAAAAATATCATCTGGAAGTTTAAATACTCTTTGAAAAGATTCGGTAATGGCTCAAGTCGTTAAAAACCTTTCATGGATAATGAAAAAGCTGCCATTTTGTTTAGAGAAAATGTAATCCATCAGTACCTCTATCCAATAACTTGTCTCATTCGCGGCTACTTTTGAAATAACTTTTAAAATAGTTGTACTTATTTAAAAATTATTTAATTGGATTTAGAAGGAATGCCAATTAACTATTGATGTATAGATATTATTATATAGGTATAGTTATATTTAATTTGCAATTATATGAATGTTTATTTTCCAATGTGCCATTAACATTTAAATCATTAATATTTAAAATGTTTTCGTTCTATTCTTGAAAAATTTAATCAAAATTAAATTTACAAATTAACAAATATTGAAAATTCATAGTAGGCAATAGCGGAGTACCTACTTGCTAGAAAATAATCAAACATCCACTAGAAGCTTTTTGGTGGGGCCTTATTAGAATTACTTCTACTTCAGCTCTATTATATATACTGCAATACAATTATACGTCATCTAATATACCATACATTATTATTACAGTACATTTTAAAAGGTCAGATGGTGTGGAATGTGGATGGTCAATAGGACAAATACATTGCTGTCTGGAGATGTATATTCGACTAGCAGCTTCGAGGACCGTTTATATTTTATGCAGTAGCTACATGCATAATATAATCCACCTTTTTTTTTTTTTTTATGAAACAAATTTTAAATATTATTCATCAGCATCTTGCAGAACTATAGCTTTCTCGACCATATCGGTGCGAAGGTCATAAAAACCGGATCAAAGGAGCTGACCTAGCTATTAACCATGATCAGAATTTAGAGG